GATGAGAAATGGAAAAAATGGAAATAAAGTCTTTGTAAATAGGGAAGGGTGGAGGGCGTGAAGGGAGGGCTAGGAATGGGGAAAAAAATAAGAACCAAGATGCATTATGTAAAGGTATAATTTGCAATGAGAAATGTAATTGTGTTGTATACCTACAATATACCAATAAAAGAATTTAATACAAAGAAAAAAAAGAAAAGAAATGTCCTGCCTGGTAACTGCCATTGCAGACTGTTTTTTTCAGAGCCCAATTACAACAGAATTTGTATTGATAACATTGAGGAACATATACAAATCATAGTTTTACAGTAAATGGCAAAGAGATTTTCATTTACATGAAACAAGCCTCAATGAAAATACATAATGTACTTATGTGTCTTGATTCATGAACACCAAGACCCAACTTCCAAGTTTAAGAAAGCATTGAATTATCAGGTAATTTTAAAATGAGCTTTTGAAATGAGGCTGGCATATGCGGGGTAGCATCAGTGAGGTTGTTAAACATAAGGTATGTGTTTTATGATTTCTAACTAGAAAAATTTAGAAGCTGTCAGTAAGGATCAATTACTTCACACAGGTCCTAGAATTGCAGCTAATACATATAGTAATATGTTAGTTTAGATAACATCATTTATAAACTTTGATATTACCATGAACCTCTTGAAGCCAAGAATTTCTTATTTACTAAAAAAGTGAAGATATTTTTAACTTGAAAAATTTTATATATTCTAATCCTACATATAAAATACAGAATATTTTCCCCAAAAATAATTTCTCCAAAAACAGGAAAAATCTGCATAAGCAGCTAACTTCTTCCTTCAACAAATATTCAAAAAGACAAAAAATTTTAACTGGTTTCAGTGATATAATTGAATGGTTTAAAAGTTTTTGATGAATGGTCAGCATTGCAATTAGGATTTTTCTGATTCATATTGCAAGAGATAACCTATTCTTATGAAATATATGTATGCATGTGTATATGTTTGAGCTCAATTTTGGTTCAGTATCTGTGCATATTAAAATAAGCAACTTTTAAGGACCAGATATATTTAATGTAAACCCATCAAGCTGGGTTTAGACAGTCATTCTCACAATGACCTGATCATTGTCAATTTTAAAATAATTTATCCTGAAGTGGTAGGATGTCAAATCAAAGAACTAGGACAACAAAAAATGCCATGAATGGTGCTGCTCCTGGCCTAATTATCAGGATGGCTCACTCTCACTCAGCCAGACACTACACCTTTACTTTAGCCCCCATTTACCTTTCAAGTCACACTTCACTATGCTGAAAACAGTCTTTGGGGAATGGGTCACTGACCCGAGGAACATGCAATATCAGAAATAAAGCATTTTGGTGGTGAGAAGACTGGATTTGACCAGGAATGCAAATTTGGAAGAGAGAATGAAGATATCTTAAGGCAAAGGATGTCATTATTTCTCCTTCTATTCTTTTAGATACAGCATTACACAGTACTTACTGACATGGATTATGTCAGACTGGATTGTGCCTGTGCTGAATGCTAGGTTCTATTCTTATGAACTCTGTGTCTTGGGCAACTGTTTATCTCCCTGTACCTCAGTTTCTTAATCTTTAAAATTGGGATATTACTGATACTTATCTCCTAGGATTTTTATGCAGATTAAATGTGTTACTATATGGAAAGGACCTACAACAGCATCTGACACATAGTAAGTACAGAGAAATGTTAGCTATTATTTTTATTATTTTGCTTCATAAGGAATAAAGATGAGAACAGAACAACATAACAGCAATAGGGAGGCCAGAAACTGTATTTACTTTCCTTTAAAACTAGTGACAATCGAGAGAAGGAAAAAGAACAGAAAAAAATAAAGAAGAAATACGAATTGGGGCCAGAACAGGAACAAAAAGGGAGATGAAGAACAATGTGGGACAGCAAGAGAACGAGAGGGAGAGGGG